CCAAGGGACCATGGGACCAGACCTAGCAAGGCCCCCCAGACCAGGCCAGACCTAGGAAAAAAAAAAACAGTGGACCCCAACAAAACCCGACAGCAACAAAGCAAACTCTGAATTCATCGTTTTCTGAGGGTTGAGGTTTCAGTACCCTAAACAGCATGGAGGTGAGCATGGGGGCTTATACTTAAGTTTTATAAACCTACAGGGTTTACAGCTGAGGGTTTGGTGGCTTTCGGGGTTTGTGGGTCGTTGAAGGTCCTAGTCCTATGGAAACCTGGCTACAGTGGCAAGACAAGGCTGAGGTTTAGGGCTCGGAGTTCATGGTCCCTGCAGGGGCTGCAAGTCAAATCTCAAACCCAAGGCTCTCAATCTCGTGGGAATGACTGGGTGACTGGAAGCGAGCCCGTGTACAGTAATGTTTCTGAGAGGGCTCCCGGACTCCCTTTCTAAGTGTCGAATTCAACGGTCCCAAAAAGAATTCGTAATTAAGGCTGTATATTAAACAATGAGGAATTAAAATTTTCCCCACATCGATACCTAGCTTCTTTGCCAGTGAGTTGAGGCATCTAGACGACCTGTTGCCCCCCAAAACAGACAAAACCCACGTCCCAGCCGGGGCTGAAATGCACTGGAACAAATCCGAAACCTTGTTGGGGTGCTATACAGAAACCCTAAATACCGAAACCCCAAGTCTTATCCTTGTAGGGTCGATTCAGCAACCTGGTCTGAGACTGGTCATGAAACTCTCCGAAGCTGCATTCGGTAAACCCAAGAACCCCTGGAATCAAGGGTATCTTAAGCAAGCCCTCTCCTAGACCTCCGCGTGCTACACCCTATAGCTCCTAGTCCTAAACCCCATAACTTACTCCCCCAATAAGCCACAGAAATCAAAGGTTAAACTTTCCGATTCCTAGTAGACTGTAGGAACCCAAAAAGTTTAAAGGTCGGGTATTGGGGATCTAAGATAAGCCTCACCCGAGTTTAGGATTCCGTGAAGCCCGATATCTGCACTGGGTCGCTGGGTGCCGGGCTTCTGCTTCAAGGGCAGCTGCGAAAGATCCACGCAGGCTGAGTACCTGAACCCTAAACCCTAAACCCCAAATAGTATGATTATTATTATTAATATAAATATTAGTATTAATACTGGTACTAAGACTATTTACTGCTTAAGCTCGGGTGTTCAAGGCTTAGTCTCTGCACGAAAGTCTTCAGTATTCAGCGCTTGCGCAGCTGTATGTGTGCTGCCGACATCAGAACCGCCAAATATCTATATCTATATATATATATATATATTTATGTGAAATAACACACAAAAATCCACATATTATGACTCTCACCAATGCTCATCACCAAAAACCATATGTGTAACCTTGCCATACATCAATGCAGGCCGGTCCCTGGGATCAACGTTACGCACTGAAGCCACTGCCCCATACTCATAGGAAGAGTCTGCATTTTCGAATCAGATTATCTCGGCCCTTTTCCGCGCAAGGAATAGTTTTGTTTGTGGCTTCTGTATAATCTACTGCAGATTCTACCGTGTGCGTTCCCTACTTTGTCCAAGTACCAAATACTGACCTACATGTACGTGTAGGGTCGTAGGTCACCAGCACCAGGAACAGCCTGAAGAACCCCTAACTACTAAACAAGACTTCAAGACACAAAAAAGGAAACCCCTGAATCCCTGCGATTCGGGTGTGGCTTGCAACACTGACTGCGGGAATTGTCAGAACTCTACGAGATGCTCTGCGGCTCCAGCCAATCCGATCAGAGCCACCAAAGTATCCTACTCCCAGCCCAAAGAGTCCTAAGTACCTGCTACCTACATAGGGGTTTCTGCACTGGGAATTACATTCTTTGGGAAAATGTCCCCCATACAAGTACATGGGACCATTGGGTAGGGTAAGTCCTGAAAGCCCTGGTAAAACTGGACGGTGCCGGTGGCAAGAAACATGCTGGGGATGCATGCACTCCAGGAGGACTTCCGAATCGCGAACCTGCGGTAAAGAGCGAAGCTTCCAAGAGTTTAGGTTCTAAGGCCAAGAAGTTCAAGTGTGTGCAGGAGTTGGGCCTTAAGCTTTAGTTTGGGATTTCGGGGCCAGGTGTTTCGACTTTTGAGGTCATTGGGCCCTTGTAGCACTTGTATTTTTGTTGATGAGATCTTGGGAGGGCTCTCAACAGATTTCCTAGCGTTCTTTGACGGAAAATGTGCATTTTCTGTTGCTCTGTGTCTGAGTTGCAGGGCCACAGTGCACTAGATCCAAGTGCAGAATATCCCACACTTACCAAGGCGAGACCCATGTTGCTTAGTTGCGGCTCACGACCACTTCGCCTGTCGAAGCCGCAGTGCGGCTGTATCCTCCTGAATGAAACGGCAACGGAGCAACGCAATAAATGCCCGTAACCATGCGACCTGAAGGAACAGACTCAACTGTTGGAGTTCAGCATACTAGAGGTGCCCAGAACCTGTGACGGAAGAAGATTGCTAGTCGCATAAAGTTATACTGCCGTCTTAGCTTTAGGGCTGAAGCTCCGATATCTTCGGGACACCCTACGGTAGAAGCCCAAAGGGTGGAAACTCAAAAGCCTCAATTCTGAAGAGTCATATATAGGGAATCCCAGCACTAATTGTACTCAATCCGGCTTCCAACTTTTTGGGGCTTACCATAAACCCTAAACCTTGAACCCTAAACCCCTAAACCCCAAACCCTCCTCTCTGAACGTTACCCCCCAAATCCGAGAAACCACCGGAAGAGGTGATGCGGGCCTCCTTGCTGTCCTCGTCGGTAGCTACACCTGGGGGAAGTTGAGAGTCAGACTGGCTTAGGGTTTAAGGTTTACGATTTGTTGAGCCCCTTTTTCCATCAGCAACCCGTCTTGCGCGTTTAGGAAGTTTAAGGTTTAGGGCTTATCCAAACGGGCAGTTCTCTACATTTGGGTCCCTTTTCTACGGTGGTACCCTTGCAATAGGGACCCTAAATGGGACTCTAGCTTTCGGAACTACCCAAGTGGCACCTCCTCTCAACTAGCCGAGTTCACGAGTCACATAGAAGCCTAAACAAAAGGGTAGATCATTCTTGTCGTCCCCCGTCATGTAAAATTCGTAGAATATACCACCAAACCCTGCTCTAATTTCAAAGGCCTTTGTATGAGGATCTCTACGGCACCTGAAGACCGGTGACATTGGGGATTGAACCTGGAATCCAACTCGGGTCTTTTCAACATGGCATGTTGACCTCCCACAGTCCTAGTAGCCTACCTCAACCCACCAGAAACTACCTTTTTGTAGGGTCCTTATAAACCTCATTTTAGGGTTTTTATACTAAGAACCTTCCACCCTAAACCCTTGACCTCGCATCTAAACTCTTTCAAGGGGGCCTCTGCACTAGAACCCTGAAACCTGCGAGACGACTGCTTTCAAGCAGAAAAGTTCCGGTGATTAACAAACGACTAACAGAGCTTCCCCCACCCCGGACAAGAAAATCACAACACCAAGCCTGAAACAACTAAGACCGTGGCCAGTATCGAAGAGCCGGCCGAGAACTTCGAAAAAGCTCCTTAGCTGTGGTGCCACAGCTTCCCAGGACGCTTCAGGGTTTAGGGCTTTAAGGCTAAGGAAGTTTAGAGTGGTCTGAAAAACGAGTAGAATGTAGAACAAGTAGCTGGGACCCGAGCCCCCAAATGCATATCCTTAAGACCGAAATCCCACACCGTACATCCCTTGGCTTCCCCTAAAGCCTGAAATCCCAAACCATGCATGCGGCACAGAACCCTGGACCCTGAATGCAAAACCATGAATCTCTCAAGGCATCCCTAAACATGAATCTCTCAAGATACCCGACACCTGAAACATCCAAACCGCTCATCCCCGTCTAGTTACCCTAAAGCCGAGATTGCAAACTAAACACCCCTCAGGGCACCCTAAACCCGATCCCCACACCATATATCATACATACTAAAGGTGGTCTGAACCCTGTATCCCGACCCATACATCCCTTGAGGTACACTAAACCCCAAACTCCAACCCATCAATCCCTGAAGGTACCCTGCATATGATAAGATCCCTTTGCAGGATCTATACCGGGTGTTGAAAGGGATGTATAGGGTAGGGTTTATATGGGTTGATGTGAAAAATAAGTATCCTTATGGGAGACGGCCCCCAGGGGGGTAGATAACCTACTAATCCCTAGTTCTCTCTAGCGCTCCCTCAGGTTCCCTTAAGGTTCCCTAAGGATCACTTGCACCCTCCCCCCTTGAACCACCCTCCCTTCAGGACCCCTAAACCCTAAACCCTCCTGGACACACGAACCCGAAATCTTAAGTCAAAGGGACCCGAAACCTTAAGTCATAGGGACCCTTAGGGCCTTAGAGGGAGAGGGGGTAGGGCGCCTTGATGCCCGTAATAAGGACCTAATACGGCCTATTTAAGCAAGTATAGCCTCTATAGGGGCCATAATGGTTAGAATAGCGTTTTGCGGCGCAGTATATTAACCATATAATAAGGAAACCACAAAATAGAATTGGTAATTATTTTGGCCCCCACCCCGAATTTCCTAAGGGTCCCCATGGTTAAGCCTAAGCCCATCGAGGCCCAAAGCTTCCTCAAAGAGAATCAAAGGGGAAAAGGAGGGACACTTAACAAGGACCCCTCGGTATATACCCATAATGTCGCCATTATATAGCCCATTATAGGGACCCAGGGGTCCCCACTAAGGGTCCCTCCTTGTTTTCCTTTGAGGAAAGGAATCTCGGTCTTGGATCCCGGAATCTCAACGGATGTGCCGAACCCTTCAATACCAGAGAAGGATTTGTACTATAGGGACCTAAATACTTACGAATACTACTGCGGGGTTCCTGATTACAATTACATTATAATGCACCCCAAGACCCTACTCTAATTATTAAGGCCCCTGTATTATGGGTTGCCCTTCTTTCCGCAGGGCTGCATAGGGACCGTTAAAAGTCACATAGAACTGGGTGCTGAGGTACACAGATATTATGCCGTAGTTCTATAATGGACAATACGGGAGCGATAAGAACAATTCAGACCCCCTATCAAACCTAGAACTCCTGGACCCTGAATCGTGCTGAACCGTTGTGCCAGAGAGCGAAGCAGCTGCAGAGGGCGCCTGAAGCCAGCGAAGAGAACAGTATTCACAACACCAACCAATAATGCTAGAAACAATGACACCATCAGCACAAACATAAGAAGTGAACAATAATCATAACAATGACAGGGCGTTTGAATTGGGGTTTAGGTGTTCAGGGTTTAGGGTTAGGTCCTAAAGTTTTAGGAATCAGAAACTCTACGGCCCAAATCGTTGATTGCCCTACGGTTTGAGGCTTCAATCCGTATCAAGCTTACCTGCAACCCCTCACCCTACAAAATGGCGCTTCGCGTTTAGGGTTTAGTTCTTTCAGCAAAAGGTATCACCCACCCCTAAAACAAGAGGCTTTTGCATTTCCAGGTTGGGTGTGTGCGCATCAGGTCCGGGCTTTTGCGCCAAAGGTCCTATTAGGTCCGATTACGTCAAGTTCGAATGCACAGTTTAGTTGCTGAATCCATGAGCCGCCACCAAACATGTAAACTGGTAATGGGCTGTAATTTTATCCCGAAAAGCGTAAAGTGGACTCAGTCAGATGCTAAGACAACGGCCAACACATCCCCACTTATCGATCGCCAAGCCTGCCTCTCTTACCGATTCCTTAATAGAACCCTTATGAGCTGGTTTAGACACGGTCTACATTAATGTCTTCCGGCTGGCCTTCTTATGGGGATCTATGAACAGAGCACTAAGCCCTAAACCCCAAACCAACCTAAACCCAAAGCTTACCTAAACCCTAAACCCTAAAACCAACCTAAACCCTAAGAGACCCAAAACCAACCAAACTCTAAAGCCCAAAAAAGCGTAAACCTAAACCCTATACCCAATCCCTAAATGAACTTAAACCCTCAGCCCGTCTGGAACCCCTATACATCGCTTGTAGGAACCCTTATAGATCCCCTGTAAAGGAACCCTAAACCTAAAGAGCTCCAAGTCATGACAAGAACCGGCAACCGAGCCTGTCCCATCTGCGGCTGAGTCGGAGTCGAGCCACCTGGGGTCAACTGTTTAGGGCTTAGGAAGTTTAGGGTTTAGGGCTTAGCATCTGTTTACCGCCCCTGTAGAAGCGTAGTACCGTATAAGCTGACACCCTCTTTAGTTCTGAAAGGCCTATATGTGTCACCTATACCACGGAAATCCCTTAGAGAATAGGGCTGTATCCTTGACGCTCGAACGGTGGGCAAGTAAACCTCACCTCAAAGTCAAAACTCGGACAGCAGGGCATTTTCGGACTTGTATGCTGGCGAGCTTGAACCCCTGACGCTTGGACGATGAGAGGATGATGGAATGGATCCATTCAGAATCTATTGCCGACTTCACATGTAGCGAAACGAACTCACGTTTTTCATCGTTTGTCGAAGCGCGCTGCAGCAGACGCCCTTAATTACTGAAGGCCTAATGCAAAGTGGTTGAACTCCACTCCACACACCGCCCGTGCACCTCCGCCAGCAGCTCCCAAGCCCATCTGTGGTCGAGTTGCGATTTCACCTGTGGTTGCGGCAGAGCAACACGTGTCGCAACATGGATTCGTATGCAGGACACAAAGAAACTGGAGGACACATACAGACATGTATTATAGATGTACATACACACACAGGTATATACATATATGATTATGAAGAGTTTGCTGCTCCTGCTTCGACACGCACGAATAGCCGCAGAACCGCTTGTGTGAAAATGCCATAATGTTACTATCGCACCTCCACCACATGGCCCAAGGCCCAGCTGAGGCTTCGTGGCAACATCACCTGCAGTGGGGGACCCTAATGTAGTACCCTAGAGAGTAGGATCCTCATTATTAATATAGTACCTGAATAGTGAGATCTTTATCACTAATATGATAAGTACCCTAAATAGTAGGATTACTATAAGGACCCCAAAATAAGGTACATCACCTGCCATGATACTGCTGGGATCTACATCAACTTCGGGGCCCTGGGACCAGGTTTCTCCACGTGCAACGAGTGCCCCCCTGACATTTATTTGCCCATCAAACTACACATTATTAGTCCGGCTCCGTAAGAGAGAGAGAGAGAGAGAGAGAGAGAGAGAGAGAGAGAGAGAGAGAGAGTGTGTGTGTGTGTGTGTGTGTGTGCGTACGTGTTTGCACATGTGTGCGTGCGTGCGTGACTGTGCGTGTCCATGTTCTGGGTCTGTGGGTACCTCCGTATACATGTTTCATGAAGTGTGTCCATGTTCATGCACATGCGGACAGGCAGGTTCTTTACACCCTGACCGTCACCAACAAGTCTGTATAGTGTTTCTGTCGGACCTAAGTGACAGAAATTCTGAGTCCTTAGCCCCGAAGCAGTCTTTGTTGACAAAAACGATGTGCCCAAGTCGCTACTATAAGGCTCAAACAAGTAGCAGTACTATTTTGGTGGCTCTTTATTAAAATTATTGTATAATATACCGCAAAATCCTCGTCTATTTTATGCATGCCCCTATATTATGGGACCCTACTATAGATCCCTTATAATAAACCCCTTAAGGATCCCTTTAAAGGAGCCCCATGCTGATTATGAAGGCCCCTCCGGCGCCTCCGCTCGGCGCTCCCAGGCTAAGCTGCGGCTTCGTCGCATTGCCTGGCCAGTTTCGAGGGTTAGGGTTTAGGGGTTTGGGGTTTAGGTTTTCTTTGTGTCTCTCTCTCTCTCTCTCTCTCTCTCTCTCTCATATACATGTATATATATATATATATATACACATGTATATGCATATACAAACATATTCAAAAGGGCTGCTAGAAGGGTCACTTCAAGGGTTACTGTAAGGATTACTATAACGGATTCTGCCTAGGTTACTGTAAGGGTTGCTAGAAAGGGTTAATGTAGGGGCCACTGCAAGTGTTGCTATTACGTACGCTCTGTAGGTGCAGCTCAGGCCGTTTCGGGGGTGGTCGGTTTTAACGGCATTACAGGATTCTCGGGCAAGGAGTTTTTCTTCACATCGGGGATTTAGAGTTGGGGTTAGAGGATGGAATTCAAGGCCAGCTGCAGGTGTCGCTTCGGATATAGGCTTCAGGGTGCAGTGTTCCACGGCTTAGTGCGATGGTGTGACGAGGTTTTACAAAGGTCTCTGCATTTTGAGAATATTCGGGTTTAAGGTATTCGTAGAGTAACCAATGCGCCTTCACGAAAAAGGGTTAGACCCTTAAACATCGGCACATTTCATCATCAGCAGGGCAATCATCCTTCCCCGAAATCTTAAACCCTTAACCCCTAAACCCTAAACCTGTAAAACCTCTTAACCCGAAGCCCTATAATCCCTACACCCTAAACGCTAGTGCCTGCGCCAGCACCGAGGCCCATTTGCGGATTCGTGGCCAGGCTGCCCGCGGAAGGGCCTGCAGAAAAATGGTGAGATACCCATAACTTTCGGGGTTAAGGGGTTTCAGGGGATAAGGGGTTTGGGGTTCAGACTGTTATGACCAGAAAGGCAGAGAATCAGCTGAACTGTACCATGAACATGTAACATCATAAAAATTAAGCGTCGCACGACGGATCCATTACTCAGGGTGACCAAGCATGACCACCGCATTATCAACACAATCAGGAGCAACTTGCGTGTCTTCATCATCATCTCCGTGGTTCCGGAAAGTCGGAAAACTCAAATCACCTCGCCCAGTTCTTCGAAGGACTATCTGGCTTTCATACTGTTGCAATGTGAACAACAACGACGACGACAACGACGATTACTACCACAACAACTACTACTACCACCACCACGACGAGTGCTACTGCTGCTGCTGCTATAGCCACGACGACCCCTCCTCCAAATACGATCGACGACTTAGGTTCCAAGATCCAGGCTTGCGACGCGGTCCTTCACCATCGATTCCTAACACGGAGCCCAAACAAAGTGTCTAACCACGAACCTCTCCACCCCTGACCTGCAGGCCAGATCCCGGTTTCGGGATCGGTCTTCAAGTCCTCATGTAGTGCGTAACTGAAACTTCATTAAGCATCATTTGGGGTGAGATTCCTGCCTGGACCCAGGCCCATCTGCGGCTTCGTTGCCGCAGCGGACATGGGTGGCGCTGCGCCTCCTATCGCCAGCGTAGGGCTGTAGCGTCGACAGAATTCCGATATACCCCTAATATTACAAGATTACCATCACTAGTGCAATTATTGCTACTCGTATTCTTGTCTTCTTCTTCTTCGTTGATTTAGTAGAGAAAGGTGTACTCGTGCTCTGATGGAGGCCGGCAGCCTGGGTTTTAGCACATGGCGGCATTTGTCGGAAGTAGGCTTTGTCATCTTTGAGGGCTTACCCATAGGCCCCATACGGCTGATGATATAGATCCTGCATTGCCTTAAGGACCCTGAACTATGGGAATAAGCTTATTGATGGGTGATGCAGGATTTATATCATCAACCGTAGTAGTTCCTTTCTGGGACTACCTTATAGATAGAATTCTATATATGAACCCCAAGAAGGAACTACTTTGGGGCCTCTGGGTAGAGTTAAGGCTTTAGGCCAAGGTTTAGGGCTCTTCTTCTGGGAGTTTCCGAAAAGAGGGGTACCAGTCCCTTATCATAAGGACCCTACTATCTCGGGACTATATTAGGGTCCCCTATTTTCGGAAACCCCCTTCTATTACTCCATAGGACCATAGGAGGGTTAGGTACGTACACGTACACGTGCATGCATGCATGCATATGCCTACGGCTGCTACTAGGATGATGCCAGTACTGTCTGTGAAACAATGCTACATGTACGTGCACATATACTCGTAGTGGATGCACTAAATCCAAGATCTAGGGTTCAGGTGAGCTTCGTGGAAGGCAAGCTTTGCTTTACACAAAGCCCTGAAGCTAAGGACAGCAAAAGAAATTCAGATCCTAACAACGACGTCGTTCAGCACAGGTGCTCTCAGCTAATTTTCGCCTTTAGCTTCAGGCTTTGGGATTTATCGAGCAGTTTAGGGCCATGAACCCCCATGAGTTCCTGCCTAAGCCCATCTGCGGATTCGTCGCCATGCCACCTGGCTGGGATGGCGGGGAACAATTTAACACACAGTAATAACAATCACGCAAGAACAAAATGTAACAACAATAAGAGTACCCATAGCCCCCAAAGTAGTTCCTTTTTGGGATTGCCTTATAGGATCCTTTTTGGGATTACCTTATAGGATTCTATATATGAGCCCCAGAAAGGAACTGCTATGGGGCCTGTGGGTAGTACCAGTAGCAACAAGAGTAGCACAAGCCAGGGTTGATGTTTGTAGGTTCGGCACAGTCGGCTGTTGCGAGTGCAATGCCCACCTGACAGCCTCTGAGCTGACAGGTTCTCTAGCGAACCAGGATAATGTAGGGGCCTTAATCATAGAGGCCCGGTATACCATAGTTCTAATAAGGAGCCCCTAAAATAGAACTGGTAACTATTAAGGCCCGCATCTTGCACGGAGAACGAGACACCCGACAATCTGGCTACAGGAGCAGAGCAGTTTCATCCAGGGAACTTCGAAAGCAACTCGGGGGCTCTGGGGCAGAGGGATGTAGAGCCTGAAGAACCTGTAGTCTCCATTGTAGTTCCTTTTTGGGGTTACCTTATAGGATCCTTATTATATATTATATTTGGTTAAACCAAAAAAAGAGCTACAATGGAGACTATAGGAAGCTTTTGAACACAGGAGCCACGAACATCAAACCTCGCTTTATCGGGATAGTTTGCCCCGAACCCTAGACTCTAAACCCCTGAACCCTGAGGCATTGCCAATCATGGAGTATGAACAGGATTAGAACTAAAGAGCAGCTGAATTATATGAAGCAATCCAAACCAAGCCAATGAGACACATCCCGGTCGTGGCTTTGTTGTTTAGGCTTCACGGCTCTGGGTTTTAGATTCGCCCTGCCAAAACGTCGAATAGAAGAGCAGGTGCAGTCATGCATTGAATTCACTTAGTTCGAAACTCTTCTGCAGCCATGGGTCACGTGAAGCCACCACGACTTGACAAAGTTTTGAGTTGAAAATTCGACGACGCGTCATTCTGACAGGGTGTTAACCCTAAACCCTGAACCCAGTGTTGAGTATGGGATGCCCTCAAGCCGTTTCTCGCAAGCTGATGCACGAAAACCCGATACATGTTCTAGCACGTCGTTCTACTTCTATCATCTAGTAAGATCATGGAACCTGCAGTCTGGGTGTATGGGAAAGAGCCCAAGGGATCTTAAGGTGTAGATTTTGAGCTCTGGGGCCTAGAAGTTTTTGGGGTCTATACAGTTCAACCCCCAAAACTCTTAAGCCCTACAGCCCAAAGTCAAAGGTTTAGGGATTCAGGGTTTATAGGGGCTTGGATGTTGATGGATTTCGGGCTTTGGGTATGGGGGCATAGCTTAACGACTTAGGAGTGCGGAGATTTTGGGCCAAGGGATTAGGCATAGGGCTTCGAGTTTTGAACCAGGTCTAGTCTAGATATGTAGGAATTGGCGGTTGGGGATTTAGAGTGATTTGGGGAACAGGTTCCGAGTGGTTGCGGGTTTGGGGTCCAGTGCTCAGGACCGTGCTGCCCATGAAAAACGCAAGTTTAAGCCCATAGCCCTGGAGAGCCCAATTAACCCTCAACCCCGTTTTGACAGCGCTGTTCGGGTTAAGATTTTAGGATTCAAGGTCCCCAAAACCCCTAACCCTAAAAAGACCCTATCAGTTCTAATATAGGGGCCTTAATAGTTAGAATAGGGTTTTGGGGCCCATTATACTATGATTTTAATAAGAAACCCCCAAAATAGTATAGGTAATGATTTAGGCACCTATATTAATTAATCCCCAGGAACATCCCCTGAGCCTGGTCCTCCAGGTCCAGGTCCCATCTGTGGGGCCGTGGCACCAGGGGCGCCTCTCTGACAGAGGCAGATTCTGAAGCCAGGGCTCTGTAAGCCAAATGGTCTTAAGAACCTTACATAGTAAAGAAACATTGTTTCTATAGTAGGAATTGCCAAGATGGTTGGGGTGGCATCCCCTACATAGGTACTTAGGACCCTTTGCGGTAGGGGCTCCATAAGGGATGTCTGGAAGGGATTGTGAGCACACCTTTTGCTATAGTCATGTAGAAACCGGAATAAGAAAGACTAGGGCTGGGTTGGCAGTTCTTACGAGGAAACCTTGCTCTTATAGACATTTGAGGCGCCTGAGGCTGCCATTTGGGGGTTCTCCAAATGTGAATTTTCTCGCAGGTTCCGATCGCCCCTGTTGAGAGAACAAGTTCCTAAACCCTATAATTACTTACCAAGCCCTTGTACAAGCACACAACCCCAAACCCGAAAGTGTACGCTAAATCCGAAATCCCACCCCCTCAGCGCTAAACTTCGTAAACCCTAAACCCTACCTAGACATCCTGAACCCTACCTGAACCCTACTTGTTTGTAGGTTCTTCTTATAAACCCTAATATGGGATTTATAGGGACCCTACAAAAAAGTAAGTTCTGGTAAGTTAAGGCAGAGGTTGGGCTCGGAGTTGGGCTTAGAGACTTTAAGCTGGGATTTTCGAGATCCTTCGGGCCCTGTCAGAGTTTAGGGTTTTATATATGTGGTTTAGGGTTTATATATCTGGTTTAGGATTTAGGGTTGACAGCTTCTGCAATCACAACCCAATGTACGTAGAGGGAGTGATCGGAGCAGAGTTGGGGGGAAATTCTACTACGACTACATTGAGGCAAGCTGTTGACAACCTCGCAAACCGCTTGATGTATGTGGTATAGTATACTGCGAGGATATAGGGGTCATTCCGAACCACCAAACCCCAAACACAAGACCTCTACCTCGTCGCCAAATGATTGGTGGCGGTCAGGCATCTTCAGTTTGCAAATCACTAAACATATTCGAGAAAATCTTGTTTCCCCAATATGTTTGTGACCGGCTCAGCGCACATGGGCAGTGCCTGAGGGACCCCCGGCCAGGCATTCCACTCAGCTTTGTGGCGCTTGGGCGGAGTAACGGTGTAGGGTATAGGCTTTAGGGTGTAGTAGCGTTGCTAGCATCGCCGTCGTCTTGATCTGACCTTCTCGTCTTGCCGTGCCTGAACGATGGACTTCACGAGTCTCAATGGACAAGCAAGAAGCCGTCTGTCTCGGGACTCGGTACTATAGGGGCCTTAATAATTACCTATACTACTCTGGGGGTTCCTTATTATGATTATAGTATAAAGGGCCCCAAAACCCTATTCTACTTACTAAGGCCCCTATATTCGCCAGTGCTGCACTTGAAGAGCAACGCGACCGAAGCCTCCCGATCCAAGCAGGCTCCTCCAATGACTGCTCACACGTTGAGAATGCAAAGGTTCCGCCCTAGCGTAGAAGGCTGAATGATGGTGCGAGATTTTGGCGTACATGGCAGCAGAGTTCCACGATCTTTGCAAACTATGGTCGGATTGCATAGGCCCGAACATCTTCTAATAAGTCTACTTAACCAGCAGCTCGCTTAGAAAGGGATGATGATGCGAAATTGTCGACCCTCCATCACTTTCGGGTTTAGTCACTAGGGAGGACGAAGACCGAAGGGGGCACAATCATCCAAGGCCTCAGCCCGGAACGCCTTCGCTGTAGCTCTGCAGGGAACACGACAGCAATGCTCGCTTATCAGATCGTTGCATGTACTGTGCAGAGACGCAGAGAAGCGACATATGGGAGTTTCCGAAAATAGGGGACCCTATTATACTTCCCTAAATAGTAGGATCCTTATTACAAGGGCCCCAAAATAAGTTACCCCTAATTTTCGGAAACTCCCATGTAGAGTCCTAGCCGCTAAACCCTAAGCTTGTCGCGAAAATCGCCTGGACCGTTCACCACCTGGGGCGCTGTTGCACCAGTGCTCCCTGGCCAGCGCAGAAGATTTGCTAGGTGGTGTTCCGGCGTAAGCATCTACGCTGTGGTTCCAGCATACATCAACAGATGTACCGAGCTATACCTAGATGCATATGTAGGTCGAATATACACACGCAGCACACACATACATATAGATAGATATATATATATATATACACACACAGACGCACAATAAGTATAGTGTATGTGAAATGGCTAACGCGACAAGAGAAAATCGTCACCTAAA